CCAAGAATGGGGCTGGTAACAGACATGGGGTCATAACCACTGATGCTCTGTAGTCTAGACCTGGCAGTTAGTTTTTTTATGTTTACAGTCATTTTTAGAGTTTCAGTTTTGTGAACACTTTAGTCATTTATATATATCTAAAAATTAGAAAATAAACTCTATAACATGTTTCATAATTACACCACAATCAAATTGCTGCTAGGTGTTTTCATGGTTATTTTGTTGCAATGGTTCCTATTATTTTCTTTTAGTGGAGAGGATGCTGCAGAGCGGTTAATAAAGACTTTTTTTGAGAATGTAATTTCTCAAACTCCTGCTCCAGCAAATCAGGAACAAAACTGCCTAATAAATATTTCCCTGCTGTAACTGGGTTTTGAGTGGCTTGGTGATTTGCCTTTTTCCCTCTCTTAAGTAAGACATTGCAGAGACTTTTGCTCTTTTGAATCTCGTCTCTTATGACAAGACAGTCCAAGGGGCTTTATAAGACTGCTGTAATGACCCCTAAATAGGCTGACAGTTTTATAGCCGTCCCCAAGAGGGAAGCTTCCTTTCAGAAGCGGCTGAATATCATGAAAAAGGCAATGGCTCCACGTTGACTTTTCACAAAGCTGGAAAGACTAAACGGCTTTTTGGATTAATAACAGGTTTATGGCATCCTTCTCTGCCAGACTGTCTGTCAGCCTGTGTGACTCTCCATTATAGGTGCTGTCAGGCGCTCAGAAAAGTGCCGTTTAAAAACCTGGGAGTTTAAGATGTTGTAGAGCTGTATAAAGCCTTGCGTGTACCTCGGGGTGAGAGCTGTGAGCTAAATGCTTTTGTTTCATCCCAACTGATGACATAATTTAGTGTTCAGAGTAACAACCTCCAGATGTAAATCTGTGAGACTCTGGGCAAAGTGACTTCCATACTGGCCCTAGTGAAAACCTGAGTTTGGGGACTCCTGCACACACACACAGCTTTAGGCTTTTAGGACTCTGCAGAGCACTCGTGTAGCCTCTTCTTGGAGAATATAGTGTGAGACGAATTTCTTAATCCCAGTGCACGCAGACAAAGGATTTTCTCTTTTGTTAGATAGGCTTCCCCTCACTCATTAGACATGGTATTAGCTATTCAAAATGGATTTTGCTAAGGCTTGTATAATCAACAGTGATGTTTGCAGGCTGTCTTCAGGTTCTGCTGACTGTTGATGTGGAATATGTATGCTATGCCCAAATACACATATATATTTTTCTAAGTTCTTCCCACATCAGATATTAAAAAAAAAAAAAAAAGACAAAAAAACCCCAAAAGAACAGATTGTAGCTTTGTCATTGTGAAAGCAGCAAGGCAGTTCTGTAAATTGTATGTTTCGTCAGTAGAGATTCATACAGAACAAATGCTTTTGTTAAGAAATTGAACAGCAGAGAGTTTACCCTTGATACAAAGCGCTTATGAAATGAAATAGTACTTCTGAGCATCAGAGAACCACTTGTAATAATCGAGCTTCCTAAGTAGCAGCCACTATATATATCCTCTGCAAGACTTTCACGTGGTAGTTCGTGTGTAGCTTATCTACTGAAATTAGAGCTTTCACGTTTTGAGAGGCCAGTTGAAATTAAACATTCCTCGGGGTTCTTTGGTTATCAGATCTATAAAGTGTAAAATCGCATCATAACCTTGCTCTATTATAATTACAGTTCTCTGCTAAAATGCAGTTATATGGCAGCAGCGTGCAAGGTGTCTCTTTCCCCGTTTCTCTGGCCTTAATCTTCCCATTAGGATACCATCTAAAGACAGATGACCTTTCCTCGTAGTATCTCATCTCCGCTAATGGCTGTTAGATTGGGGATATTCTCCACGTATCCTTGCCACCTGCCCCTGCCTTATTCAGTACCTGCCTAAAGAAAAGGTAAATAAATGAGGAAATTCAATTGCAACAATATACGCACATGCTTTGTCTGCCCTGGTAACACAGAGTGTGACCGTGCATCTCTCTCGCCCCTTCTCAGTGCCCAAATACGTGCTGGCTGGAAGAGGCTTTCCATCAGCCGCAATGCAGAGCTAGCTCAAGTCCTACATGGGTCGTGATTTCTGTTCTCCCCCTTGTGCTTTTTTTTAGCTGGTGGGTACTAATAATGTTCAGAAATCTGCGAGCAATTTTCTAACAAAAATCTGAAACAATTCAAAAGTCAATTTTAGCTGTATTTTACTGACAGGATAGGCAGAGATACAGTAAGAGAGTAACAAGCATTAAGTGAGATTGGGTAAGAGTGCAAATAGTTTTGAGGAGGCTGGTTTTGTTGTATTTGTGCAGGGCCATCTTGTTATTAGCTTATTTTAATAGAAAGGGTGTTCCTTTTTCTTTTGCAAAATGAATTGTCAGAACTGCTTTTCTTCGTTAGGGAAATACTTTTAATTGCTGGCTCATTTCCTCCTTCTGAATTTCCCAAGAAGTTTTTTATTATTATCTTTGCTTCCTCTCTGAAAAGTAGTCTATTTTTAAATATGTAATTGCCTGTTTTCTCCTTTCGGTGTTTCCATTTTATTCTACAAATGCAGCTTTTAGAAAGCATAATTGTCTGATTAATTTCATAAGCTATTGATCTATAAATTCTCATACTATATTCAGAGTTAAAGATCGCTTTCCGAACTTAGTATTTGGTCATGAATTTCCTCAGCACTAATTTTTGGGGCAAATACCAGCAGCACTTTCAGTTAATTTAAAAATATGCCTAGTCTGAGATTTTAGCAATATTTAGGCAATTTGTCAATGTGTTTTATTAAAAATCAAATTCCAGACCTTCCTTTTACAGTGATAAAATTAGGCATGTATAAAGTCTAACCTCATATCCTTGATTCCATTTAAAGCATTCTTACAGAGCAACCAACTCGGCTCAGTGTTAGAGCCTTCTAGTTGCGAAGAGAGCGGCTTAGCTACTGCTAATTAACTGCAGTAGCTTTATTAGTTATGAAGAACTCAAATGCAAAACCTCTGCATAGTTTTATAGTTGAAATATTGCTTGTTTATCTGAAACAAGCTATTTTGGTTATTATTTCTTCTTCTTTGTCTCTTGGAGTGCTTTCCTTGAGACTTGTTGATGCCTTAAATGTAACTTTTAATTTCTATGGAAATTCTGTCAGAATGATAAATTAGATGGGGGAAAATATATCTTTGTTGTCAAAACCTTTTAATTTACTGTACCTCTTTTGTATACGTGACAGTAATAACTGTTTCTGTTGACCATTAAAGACAAAAGAATTTGGTGAGATGGCTGGCTTTTCTCATCTTCCTGACAGTATAATTTTAATTATGTTTACTTGTGTGACTACCCTAGAGCTGCTGAAGTTGTTAGAAGTTGCTTCAAAAGCATCACTGAGATTTACTGGGCAGGTACATCCTGGCGTATAAAGTACAGCAGAAGATATAGAAAACGTCAAGGAGAAAATAACATGATTATATGTGCAACAGCTTAAGTAAAATGCATCAGTAACGGTGTTAATGTAGGATGAAATCCAGCTGAAACAGGATTTATGGTCAATATATTTAACCTAGAACTTTACTGGTTTCATCTAGTATATAAGCCCTTGCAAAGTGTATCTTCAGCGCAGGACCACACCAGTCGGAATGTGTCGTGTATATTCTGGGGAGGGGGTGTCAGGTCTGCATGGCAGCATGGCGTGATGTGAGGGTAGTCCCACGCTGCTGACTGGCTATAGGAGATGCTCTTCTCCATCACCAGGGGTAATTCTAAGTCTGCCTCTTCCATTTTCTATGCCACTCTGTTTTCTAAGTTTATTCTAATTTCAAAACACCATCATTGAGCCTTTGTTTATTTTGCTTTGGCACAGAGGAAAAGGAAAGGAGGAAGGAACTGAGAAATACCAGCATGTACTACTTTTGCAGTATTACTTGTAGCTATTCAGCAGAAAGCTGGTAATGCTGTTGATTTAAATATTTGATGGTTACAACAGCTTGGGAACAGTTAAGACTGGGAATCTGGGATGTGTTTCATCTCTTGCCTCAGACCATGCACTTTTTTTTTTTTCCCCTTTCACTGTCGTAGATATTTTTTAGGAGGGTACAGAGCATCATAGCTACTGACCTTGACACAAATTTTGGAATTTCCTATACTTAGGTTTTTAAATATTTACTAAGTTTTGCCTAATAAGGTTTTGATTTTTTTTCAAATTTTTACTTGTTTTTACTTTGCTAAATGTATACCATTTCAAGTGTAAACTGATTGCAATGAGGTTGAGTAACATACAGAGTTTTTTGAGTGTTGGAGTCTCAGCTTTGTCATTGAAATAAGTAGACATTGCCAAGATTTTGACTATGTTCTGAACATGGCATATGTAGGGTTCATGTATTTTACCTCTGAATTTGCTGTGATGTGAGCATGACAGTAACTACTGTCATTTTAAAGACCACAAAAAGTAGGAAGTTTTCTTCCACAAATATATATGTATTTGTCTCTGAGTGGCAAGTGTACATCAGAACAATCTTTTGGAGATTTAAAATCAAACAACATTGTAAGCCTATAGTTGTTGGGAATTTTTTCAATGTTCTTATAAAGGGTATTTTAGCAAATTATGTTTAGAAATGTTAAAAAATACAATTTGTTTTAAGGGTGTTAGCTGTGAGTACTGCTCATCACTTTAAGTATGGCTGTTGTTACATTTTGCCTTGAAAGCCATCAAGTATTTTGCCATAGATTTCACTGATGTGGTTACAGGAACTGTATGATTGGGATTTGGGGATAGTGAACATTATAATCATAATATAAGATGATTGCATGAGGTAACTGTTTGCCTTCCCAACTGCCTGTGGTTAGGAGCAGAGCTGTGTTCTGCAACACATTTTCAATTTGTACTTTTTTTCTTCATTGTTGACTTGCAGTGTAGTCTTTTCTGCTGCTCCCAGGAGCAACAGGACTCAAGTATTTCAAGGGTGAGTTTATATAAAACTAAGGTTCATCTTTCATTCTAATCTGTATTTGCTGTGGATTTTTTTGCCCTTTCAGGAGGATACAGATCATAATTATTATACTTCAAGGACATATGGCCCGTATGATTCTACCAGCCGGGATTTGTGGGTCAATATAGACCAAATGGAGAAAGACAAAGTAAAGATTCATGGGATCCTTTCCAATACTCATCGGCAAGCAGCAGTAAGTTGTTATTCCTTTTTCTTCTTTGACGGACGTGGATTTTTTTACCAGTGAGCAGCACATTAGTGTTACTAAGTATTGTGCCTGCCATTCACAGAGCTTCGTCTTTGAATTTTAGTTAAGTTATGAAAGTCTGCACAGTGTTGCTATCAAACGATTCCAAGTTGTCTTTTTACGCCTGCTATAACAGTCCTTCCGAGATCCCTTTACAGATATATTTAAAATCCACCTCTGTTTCTAAGGATCACAAACTATCAAACAATAAACTAGTAATGTTGCTGAATTTGGATGGAATTTTGCCATTGACTTCAATAAGCAACAGAACTGGGTTTGGGATTAAGTTGCCAAGGTATAAGTCTCCCATGGAGCGTATCTGTGTTTGCACTTCCATTTTGTATGAGGTGTCACACTTTTTGTTTTGGATTAATTGATAAAACTCATGAGAATGTTATTTACACTGTGTGATATTTATTTGTTGACACTCTGAAACTGTGATCACGTTTATCACTTCTGTTACTATACGACAATCTTATTTAACTTATTGTAATCATGCTGCCTGGTAAAATGGGTATTAAAATAATGGGCTTACATGCTTAGAAGTGAAATTGAATGCTGCGTGATTTACAGATTGTATTCTCAGATCTCCCCTGTGGCTGGGAACTGCATACATAGAAGAGCTGATATTAGAACAAATTAAATATAGAAAATTACAACTCAGAATTGTGATTCGTGAGATTCTTGTTTCATCCATTCATCAACTTAGCTCCAGCAAAAAGTCCTTGGGTTTTGCCAGTTTAAACACAAAATCTAGTTAATGCCTTATTTAAAAGTTGTACAGTTTTTAAAGGTGTGGGTGTGTTTAACAGTTTTAAAGCTGAGAGAAAAGCCAAGTGGAATTCATCTTTTCTGTCAGTTTATCTGTTATCTCCCTGGCACCAGCCAGGTGACTGGCTTAGAGGAATGTAAGAGGCAGCAAGAAGAAATACTGTGGTATTTAGCTCAGAATACAACAAGCAGAGTGGGGTGACAAATCCACTACATGTGACTAACAGAGAGTCTAATACATAAAATATATATTCCTCCTAGCCAAAAAGACTGTAAGGAGCCTGGGATAATGCAAATTCAGAGTGTTTAGGCGGTTATATATCTTTGGGGTAGGTTTAATAAAGCACTGTACCAGCTATTTTCTTAAGACAATTTGTTTCTAATGAGAAAAAAAAAAACAACACAAAACCTCAAGGGTACCTAAAAGTGAGAATCTGTATTGTCTGCCTTGCCTTATTCATCTGGGAACCTGGTGCTCTGTGTTGAGGGAGAGAATGGAAACATACAAAAAAAGTAATAAAGGAATTAAAAAATACCCATATAAGGTAAAAAATTTTTCCCTAGTAGAAGTAATTTATGAGGTTTGGGACCTAAACATTAGTGAAATTCTTTTGAAAAATTTTAACCTGTTGTTTAATGATTAGTGAAGGTGACACCCTCCCATGCCTTTGCTCTCCAAGCACTTTTGTTTCCAGTTGGATCCCTGAGATTATACACCTAAAAATGACAGTTCCAAGGGGGGCATTTTGTTGAAGCTATTGAACCAGAGGTTTAAAATGAAATAATGCATTTGGTCCGGTTGTGGGATTGGTGTGGAGGACCATTCAGCATGGCAGACGGGAGCTTGGCAGCATGAAGGCTTCAACTCTCTTTCCCCAAAGCAAGCAGTATAAGATTTTTCTGCCGAATGTCAAGTGTCCACTCCACCTTCCTGCCAGCTCTAGCAGAGAAGGCTGTGGTCCCAGTTTAGCACACTGATATCCATCTCTATTCGTATTTACCCAAATATCTCGGACTGTGAACTAAAGTGGCTGCAGCCATGTCTACATGCTGTTTTAAAAACCTCTTTTTCAGAGGTTTGTTTTATGTCCCTTCTGAAGGGTGAAAAAGTACCAGTGAGTCATCCTGTAAGGCTTTATATTTTACTTATGGGCCTATAACTGATTTCTTGTATGTGTCCGAGCAAACAACACCCATGTGTACTACACAACAAAGTTATTTAAAAACAAGATGTGTTCTCTATACCTGTATAACAAGTGTACAGTCATGTATTCTGAGCAGATCATACATAACTGAGCAGCAATCTCTTCCCTTCTCTTCCATAGAGATAAACTTTGCCATTACCCTTTTTAAAAGGGCATTTTGCACATTTCTGTGATTTACATACTGATAATTTCTGAAGATTATTCTCTAGTTTGGCAGGAGAACAGGGAGTTAAATGAATACATTTTAAGTATTAATGATTTTTTCTAATAACCTAATTAATGCTAAAAGTTTTACACTGAATTTGTGTGTTTTCCTTAATTTGGAAGTGTGTAATCCTAAGAGTTCCCAGAAGCTGCCAGTTGGTTTTGCTTCTACAGGAAAAAGTAATAAAGATAGGATCCATGAGATGGTTTGACTCTATAAACAGCATAATTATTGCTTGGGGACAGTAACAGACAAATATTAATGGAACAATTAAAACATCTAGCACTACAGGATTTACATCACTAATAGTGATTTTTTTGTTCTTTTCAATACATTGTCATCATCTTAACTGTATAATAAAATTTTAGGTGTGGCTTGGATGCTCAGTGTGTTTGGATTAGAAATCTAATAGCTGATTACTCAAATATTGAACTAGATACAGGATCACCTCATACATGGAAACTCAATTCCCTTTCCTGTAGTCCATTCTATCATTTATGCATGGAGAAAACATTTACATTTTTATTCCAGTGGGTTGAAAATTCGAATATTCTTTCTGAAAAATGAGGCGTGCTTCCTAGCAGGAAAAGTAAAAACACATTTATTTCTAGTGGCTGTTACAATATTACACTTTAAAACATTCCTTAAATCTTGTTGATTCTTTATTACAGTATTACATTAAACAATTGTCTATAATAAACATTTTTACATTGGCAGAATTTAAGGCTTCACTTTTTGATTGAAGTCAATGGGAGATCCGTATCTAGCCTGAGTGGGCATAGCATCAAGTCTTTATTGCAAACATCTTTATACTAATATCTATATTGTAGCAATTCAGAAGACTTAAGGGAGCAGAGTTATCTTTTGAAACAATTAAATGGTTATTTTGTTATTCAGAAAGTTATTTCTAGCAGTGTAAAAAAGGAAAGGGGGAAAGTTTGGTCAGAAAATTGATGTTTTTAATCATCTTGGGAAATTATGTTCGGTAGAGCAAGGACATAATTTAAATGGAGCACACATATAAATTTAGCACTCACCCCAGCAGTGAAAATTTTAGAACATGGAAAAACCCTGTTTGTTTAAGTTAATATGAGCTGTCTTTTGCATATGCCATTTTGATTAGAAATGTTCAGTTGTATACTCATATTTATGTACATACAGAAAAGGTCATTAGAACCTGCTCAGTCCAATTTGCTCTGTTCTGCAAATTACCGTTCTCTGCTGTGAATTCAGCTGATAAAGCATAAGCATCTGTAGGCTGACAGAGAAAAAAAAGATTTTTTCTTCCCTTTTGCTTTTGCAATAAGTACCTTAAATAGAGTTTGTTAGTACTTCTGTTGCATATTTCTTTACAAATCATTTGAGCTCCTAGTTAGCAGTATAGAGAAGTTTGGGGACTTGTGTCACGTGGGTTTGATGGAGGACTTGCCTTCCAGTGACCAGCCTTCATCAGATAAGCACCCAGGTTGCAGCAGGATGTCAGGAAGAGCACTTGGATCTGAAGGAGCATTTGGCAGAGGAGCAAACCACCGGCAGCCGAGGCAGTGGGCATCGTGTAAAACTTATGTATTGCTAAGGCCTTAAATATTGATTGCTCCCCTTAAGAAAGAGGCTAAAGCAACGTTTGTTTGAGAAAAAATTCTAGGAATCTGTATTAGTTTCATTGTCATGAGAGAGTTATAATGTCTGTTCATATATTTTATTTTCTGAAGTCTTCAGTTACGAAAATCCATTGCTTTCAGGTGTTTAAGTGCTACACAGAGTTGTTTCCAGTTAGCTATTGGCAATTCCAAATTAAGAATAGCAAGGCTCCAGTGAAAAATAAAAAGTAATGAAACAGATGTTTGAAGCGGAGGATTGTTCATTTTGTTTTCTCTTACCTTTCTGCACAATATCAATTTTATTTTCTGCTGTTGTTCCTTTCAGAGAGTGAATTTATCCTTCGATTTTCCATTTTATGGCCATTTTCTACGTGAAATTACTGTGGCAACTGGGGGTAAGTGGCTTTCTAACCATTTAGTTTTGACTAATATGAGAAGAGTTTCTTGCAGATATTTAAATTACCTTTTTTTCTCCTGTATATATCAAGAGATAAACTGCAGCATTTATTTACGTAATTTTGCTTTCCACAAAAAAGAAAATTACAAAATATTGATATGCTGAAAAACCTCCAGCTGCTCAAATAGAAATGTTATTAAACCCTCTCAGTGTAAGACTTTACAGCATTACTCATTTTCTATCTAGGTATTTCCCCCAGTAATCTTTTGTGTGTGTGTGTGTGTATCTGGAGCAGTTGCACTTGTGGAGGTAGTGCTGGAGCCAAAGCAAGGAGGGAAACTTGGGGTTTGGCTGCATGAGGGCAGAGAATTTACTGTCCAAAGATGAGGAGTGCTGCTAGAAGTACATAACTTGTCACCTGTAAGGCAAACCCACTGTGGTGTGTTGCCTTGGTGTGGTACAGTGTCTGCAGCAGTGCCATGGTGTTCCTCTCCTATGGGGTAAGATGGGAGGTATGGAACAGCTCAAGCTCCTGGTCTTGTAACTGGGCACCACTGATGGCTCATAGTTGGGGCTCTTCCTCCCACCGCTGCTGGCCGCTGCTTGCACTGATCTCCTGCATCAGAAACAGCCATCGATCCCTTCTGCTCTCCTCCAACTCCACCTCCTTGAAAGAGTATAGAGACACAAGAGGAGACCAGAGGAGAATGAAATGATGTGGAAGACAACAAATGAGAAATAAGAGGAGGAGTAAGGGTCAAAAAATGAAAATAGGGAGACAGAGAGCATACCCATGGCATCCTCTGGTCCTTGAATGTGTCCAGCAAGTTCATGGCCTCTGGCTGGTGATGCTCTGCCTAGAGGTGTGACAGGACAAGCCAACAGAAATAGGAACCACCACCACCAGGACCAATCCTACCCTGTCCCTGGACAAGGTTTCTCTTCATGCTGTGAGTGGCCAGCTGGCCAGGACCAGGGGATGTCCATGTCCCACTGGAGCTCTGGACTAAAAGGTTAGGGAAAAATTGGAGCCAGAGCGTCAACAAGAGCAGCAGCTGAAACAGGTTTCTGTCATGCTCTGTGGCAGGATCTGCATTTTGCTTCTTGTCCTGGTTTCAGCTAGGATAGAATTAATTTTCTTCCCAGTAGCTGGTATAGTGCTGTGTTTTGGATTTAGGATGAGAATAATGTTGATAATATACAGATATGTTGTTTATTGTTAGGCAGTGTTTACACTGGGTCAAGGACTTTTCAGCTTCTCATACTGCCCCACCAGCAAGGAGGCTGGGGGTGCACAAGAAGCTGGGAGGGGACACAGCCAGGACAGCTGACCTAAACTGGCCAAAGGGATATTCCATACCATACACTGTCATGCTTAGTATACAACTTGGGTGAAGCTGGCTGGGGGTTTACACCACAGCTCAGGAACTAGCTGGGTATCGGTAGTCTGCAGGTGGTGAGCAATTCTACTGTGAATCACTTGTTATGGATATGCTGCTGCTGCTGCTATTATTATCATCATCATCATCATCATCATCTTCCTTTTCTGTCATATTAAACTGTCTTTATCTCAGCCCACAAGTTTTACCCCTTTTTTTCCCTGATTCTTTCTCCCATCCCACTGTGGGTGGGAGGAGTGAGCGAACGGCTGTGTGGATGTTTTAGCTGCCTGCCAGGTTAAACCACAACACTTCCAAAGCAGAAGAATACAAGACATGGACAGAGGTGAATAAAGGCTCATTTTTAAATGTTTGATTTGCAGTTAGAATGATAAAAAGGATGCAGAATTATGGGATGCCTTCAGTATCAGGGTTTTCTCGATCAATAATGACATTTTGATGCTGATTTGGATCAGATGAGCCATGAACTACTGATTGGGATTTTGAGACTTGTCTGATTTCCATTCTCCTTTGCTTTTAATTTCACTTTGGTGCTTGATCATCGATGCCTAATTCTGTATTCTCTTATTAGAGGAGCTGCATTTGATAGAGTGCCAAAATCAAGTGCATGATCTGTGTAGGGTGAAAGAATGGGGTGGGATGGATCCTGCACAGCAGTAGTGGGGACAGTGTTCATTCTGTAAATGCCCCCCTTATTCTTACTGCTGAACTTGGTTCTTTAAATCTACACAAAATTCACTCTTTCTCCAAGTAATTCCTCTTGTGTGGTCACTCTCCTGGGTCTTTGCTTTTAATGGAAGTCATGGATTTTTACGACTCCTGTCACTAATATGCTGCCGTCATCAAGCTCCCCCATCTGCCCCAAAAGACTTGGGAGTAAAGCTAAGCTCCCAAGAAGAGCTGTGTAGTAGTTATTTGTAAGGGAAATATTTTTTCTTTTGGTGTAGAGCATTTGGGAAATTTGGGTGTTTTGTTGGGTTGTGGGTTTTTTTGGGGGGTGGTGGTGTTTGTTCATTTTTTCTTGTTTTGTTTTAAAGCATGCAAGCATGTGAGAATAGCTGCAGCTCTGCAGCACTCTTTTCTCTTGCTGTTAAAGTTAACGGAACAGTGAATGATAATTCTGCTCTTATTGCTCCACTTCTACTAAATACTATAATACTGCTGTGAATAGATCTATGGATTATTTTCAAGCTAAATAGGACTTTAACGTAAGTCCTTTTACTGACATTAGCACAGAGACACTTCTATCTTTCATGTGACCCTTCTGTTATTTTCAACCTCAAAATTAAGCATGAAAAAGTAAGATCTAGTCAATAATAACTTTAAAAATATTACCTTGAAAAAGCCCAGTAACTGTAAGTCATCCTGTCAATCCAGGACAGGATGCAACCTTTCCTGCAACTTTAAGACTCCTAAACCCATTTAGTGGGAAAAGAAAGATCTGTTTCTGTCCTAACTCTCTGATAAATGTTTTGCTTTGGCTATATTTGCAAATTTTGTAACCGTAAGTCCTTGGTGGTGCAGTGTGGCTTATAGCCTAGCAACAAAGGATAAAGACAGGCTCCAAGTGCTTTTTATACTGTATGGTTTACTATTTCTTAGTAAGATTTTACAATGGCATTACTATTATTAGAGGTCTGGAACACCTCCAGAGGTTATTCTGAGATCAAAAGAATGACAGAGTTAATGTGTACAGGAGTCCCACATGACAAATGTCCACTTCCTGGAGAACAGGCTATGATTAATTATGCTAATGACAAGACTACCATTGTTTTTACCTCCCAATCATAAATTAAATAACCTTATTAAAAGGAAAGTTTAGGACAATGGCATGTTAAATCCCTGTCACAATAAAAATATCTACCCAAATGGTTTCTGCCATTCTTTATGGAGGGTGCATTGTGACATAGTAGGCTTTCCAAGTTACTTAAGACGACTTTGAAATTGCTGAGGTGTAAAACTCAACTGTTTTTTTTCTTCTGTTTAACTAATATTTATTTCTTCTTCCGAACAGTTTTGCTGAGCTGATTGTGTTTGACTAAGGAAAGGAGGAGTGGGGAGTGAAAATAACTAGTTTGAGAAATTCATTCACAATTGTCCTTAGTTTGTATTTGATAAGGCTATTTAATTCATAACTATGTTCATAATTATGTTATTAATATAATTAGTAAATTGTGGTTCTTTGGAATACAGGCATCTATCTCCCCAGATTCCTACTGAGAACATTTTTAAAGCAATCTCTGGAGAGCTCCTAAGGCCATAATAATAGCAGATAACACAAGAAAAAAAAAAAGAAGTTTGGTTTTTGTGAGGCTTTCTAAAGTTTGTGCTTTACAGGCCACAAGTGCAGATATTTCTGTAATAAACCACTCAAGAGTTAGTGCATCATGTTGTGAACATCAGGGAGCTAAGCTCATGAGGCCTGTTTGATTGGCAGTCACTGATACCCCAAAAAGAGCTCAGTGGCTGTGGAGGTGGGAAAACCCTCTCTGTGCAGCCCTTCTCATGGGAGTCCTTGAAGCTCTGTGGTTCCACATCCTACTCAACATGCAGCAACGCTTCATACTTGGTTGTATTAATCTTCCATGGTCATGCTAGTAAGTCCCTCTTATTTATTCTCTGTGGTTTATTTGTTTATCAGCCTATGTTTTCTAGTGCAGCCTTGTATCAAATATTGTAAATTTGGGGGGATTTTTTTTTTCTTTCATGGCATCTCATCAACAGAACATTTCTCTATGGTATTGCTATGCCTGTAGCAGCATTACAGAGGAGAGTGCTAGCTAACCCAGATTATTATGGATTTTCATTAAATCTTATATTTTTTGCCCAGGATTAATAATTTTCTTCCAAAGCATTTGGTACTGGATGGTGTTAAAGAGACTCAAACGGAATTGTACTGTGTAGCTCAGCCCAATATGGTAGGTCTTATATTCAGAAATAGCAGCAAAACCTAATCATGTATTTTGTTTGAAGACTGAGCATATATATTTTTTTCTATTTCAATGTAATCATATTTTTATAGATAACGTAATATATATCTGAAGATTATATCTGAAGGTTCATTTGGCATTAATTCATACCAGAGGCACCTGTCAGTATATGGTGGCAATAACTTTCCTTATTTGACAATTTATTTACTTCCTCTTAGCCCTTTTTTTCTGGCAGAGCAACATCTGGAAACTCCAAAACAGATTATATGATCCTGCCAGTCAATATGACCTTTGATTTATCCAGTCTTTCAGGAATTGTCATTAAAAAGAAAACCATGTATGCATCACTGAAAAATTATTCAGTTTTCCAATAAGTAAATATCAGCTTGTGTTCTGTTGTGGTTTTTGTTAAGGTTTTCAAAGCCTGTTTCTGTTACATTTTCCATACCTCTAGTGAATGTTTTTAGACTCATCTAGAAAATTCTGCCATGAGTAGAATATTCTGACACTGAGGTTGTTCGCTTTCAACCATCCGTTATATTTTATTCCCAAAGCCAGTGACTGCTTTGCAAAACAGAAGTCAATGCAAGTATTAACATGCTGATTATGACTGTACTCTTGAATGTTTCACTAGCAAATTCATTCTAATTAATTATGATATAATTACT